TCGGATTTGTGTCCGGATATGGATACTGGCGGATATCCTCAGTTTTAGTCGGATATTTGAAATCTGGATATCCGGAGCTACGGATCCAGATACTTTAAACACGAATCCCATGGATCCGGATCCGTCCCATCCCTAGTTCAGACCGTAAGTGTAGGATTAAATTTCATTTGCCAATTGTTGATCTCAATAACCAAAGGTCCAAAACACAACGAATGTAGATTATTTAATAAGTATCTGGAAAATTTTGGTTTCGGCATTATGGTGCTCATTAAAAAAAAAAACTAAAATAAATAATGTTCAAATATATTATTTTTCTGTCAACTAGAAGTTATATATACACCATAACATTAGAGTGCTCTAGTGTTCAAATATATATACAAAGACCCAGCCGTAAAGAAATAATATATATAAACACCCAAAAAATCTAGATAAATTTAAAAAAATGCCACTTTTCAATTGTCATTTTACAAAAATGCCACACTTTTGAAATCTTTACAAAAATGCCACTTTTTCAAAATTATTTTTTCTTTATATTATTTATATTTGGGTTAATTATGTTCTATTAGAGTTTAATTATGAGGGTTTATGTGGGTTGAAAGATCAAAACATTTTTTAGTGTTTAGAATTTTAAAATATAGGGTTTAAAAATCTATAATTAGTGGTATTTTTGCAAATAAACAACCCTAAATAACATTTTTGTAAATACGCACGTAAAAAGTGGTATTTTTGCAATTTTTCCAAAAATCTAAACATATTGAATTATATAGTATTACCACGCCATTGTCGATCTCAAATACCAAAACACACCAAGTGAAGAAATCTGCCAAGAAACAAAAAAAATATATATTCTTATGGTATCGTCTCTCTTTCTTTTCTTGTCTAGATTTTCCAATGGTGATCACATTTCATGCTCGATCCATCCAATTCCTCAAAATTTCAATTTTTCGGATAGTTGACTTTCTTTTTATTTTTTTAGGCGTATTCCGGCGAAGATAAGACGGAGAAGCTTAAGCTCTACTCTTACTGGAGAAGCACGTGCGGCCATCGAGTGCGACTAGCACTTAGTTTAAAAGGTCTCACAATAATTTGTTCTTTTTATTAGTAAAGAAAGTACAATTGTTCTTTTTTTGCTTCATGTGAGTGTTTTACTTCGATCTACTTTTAGTTGATCTATTTATTTGGATTTTTTTTTGTTTATGTTGTTTTTAGGGATTGAATATGTGTATATACCAGTGAATTTACTCAAGGGAGAACAATTTGATCCAGGTTAGTAGATTTCAGTTTTTTATTTAATTCAAGCTGGTTACGATTTGATTGATGAATGGCAAAACTATATGTGAATGTGAATGTGTATATTATATTTGTGTATGTATAATGAAGTCTTTATGATTAAGGGTCCAATTAGTGTTTGATCGACAGATTTAGATTAATTGTTGTAAAAATTATAGTCTATAGACTTTTGTGATGTACTTTCCAAATTCTTTTTACTATTGATAAAAAACATAAAACATCTAAAAGACTAAAATAACTGCTTCGGCTTTGGGGAAAAAAGTAATTTAGCGAATTTCGTAGTCCTCAACACTCTAAAATAAATCGTTTTGATCCTAAAGATTTCATGAAGATCAATCCAATGGGTACTGTTCCTGCGCTTGTGGATGGAAATGTCGTGATCACTGATTCTTTTGCCATTATAATGGTCAGTAACACATCCATTTTATGTTTTGTGGTTTTTTTTTTCGAAAATTTTAATAAAACTTATTTTCATCAAATTTTGAGTTTTGTGCTTGATAGTATCTTGATGAGAAGTATCCTGAGCCACCTTTGTTACCTCGTGACCTCCATAAACGAGCTTTAAATTACCAGGTATTTTTGACTCGAAAAAACGCCAAAATGTATGCATATTACGAAAGAAATTAATGGTTTTTTCTTTTGGTATTATATATTTCAGGCTGCGAGTATTATCTCATCTAGCATACAGCCTCATCAAAATCTAGCTGTTATTGTAAGTACATAAAATTGATTTAAATTTCTATAAGATAAATCAGAACTAGTTATACGTTTTTTGATTTTTGTCTTTACAGAAGTATATCGAGGAAAAAACAAATGCGGAAGAGAAAATTGCTTGGGTTAATAACGCTATCAAAAAAGGATATACAGGTATGAAGCTCTAATCTGTAACATTTTGTCATTAGTAATAAATATATTATGTGAGTAGCCTATTTTAAGATACTAAACATAACCAAGAACATTAAAATATGTTGTGAAAATTGTTTTTTTCTTGGTGAAGTCTTCACACATTATTGGCTAAACATATGTCTCATTTTGTTTCTTAGCTTTGGAGAAATTGTTGGTGAATTGCACTGGAAAATATGCGACTGGTGATGAAGTTTACTTGGTAAATGCTCTAAATCCCTCTACGGTAAAAATTTTTCGAAAAACAAATATGCTTGGTTTAAAAAATTTGGAATCACTGAATTTTTTTTGGTAGGCTGATCTTTTTCTAGTGGCACAAATCCACGGAGCAATGATCAAATTCAAGATTGATGTGGTAATATAACTTTCTTCTCATTGTTCTCATATTTTATTCTCATATACGGTCTAGTCCGCATAGATTCATCTATGAGCCTAAGATTCGGAATTTTTTGGTTACTTATGGATTTTCTACAGGAATCGTACCCGACTCTTGCAAAGTGTTACACGTCATACAACGAACTGTCTGTGTTTCAAGATGCAATCCCAGCTAAGCAGCCAGATGGTCCAACTCCAACCATCTGATTTTGTGAAGGAGAAAACTTTTATCACCTACCTTTAATTATTGTAAGGGATGACTATTATGTAACAAAACCATTACGAAAATATATTATTATCTAAAACAAGCCAGCTAAAAATGTAATGGATAAACAAACCAGTTTGGTGAAGTTGGCGAAGTCCACTTCTTCTCTTATAATATGAGTATTCAAATTTCAAAGTAATCGCAAGAATCTGCCAAGAATAATCTCTTCCTGACCTTTCATGGTCACAATCACTTGACTTCCTCTCTTTTGTTCAGTTTGTTGAATATCGATCACTCCATAGATGTTGGATTTGATCAGGCGGATTCTTCTGGTTCAGAGACGAAGAATAAAAAAAAGAAGCTTAAGCTCTACTCTTACTGGAGAAGCTCTTGTGCTCATCGTGTC